TTAGATATAAGTAACTTTTGCTTTAGTTTATAATATTAGGTATCTAATGTACAAAATAATCAAAAAACAAACACATATGACAATGTATATGGAAGAGCGGGATGTACCAGACATTGTTTGACATCTGTTTTTTTTTATAACACAGGGGATAAACGAGCAAGCGGCTCACCTGATGGTAAGTGATTACCGCCGCCCATGAGCACCCGCAACACCAGGGGAATTGCAAGTACGTTTCGGCCTTTTAAAAAGGCATAAGCTCTTTTCTTGAATTGAATCTCTTTTTTAAAGAAATAAACATTTTTACATTTTTTCACTTTCATAGAGGGGTGTGCATGCCTGCGCAGAATAGAATAGAATAGAAAATCATTTATTCAAATAAACTTAATTTAAGCACTTTTGAATAGTCAACATTTTTTTTAAATCTACCGCTTATTCGGAAAGCTGTCTCATCACAAGAAGAATAAGCAAGAAACTTGTGTGTTGCTCTTTTAAACAATCCTTGTAAGTTCACATTTTACAAGTCGAAACGTGTGAATACAAATTACCAACCAGGATCTGGCCTACCGGGTCAGCTAGTGTATATATCTATACATATAAATAAAATTGGTGTGTCTGTTTGTAATATTGAAATAACAGTTTTTTACTACATGCGTATGAATATAATAAATAATATAAATACGGTGCATACACCAAAATAACATTTTTTACAATTTTTATCTGTCTGTTTGTTCCGGCTAATCTCTGAAATGGAGGGACCGATTTTGACGCGATTTTTTTTGGCAGGTAGCTAATGTAATAAGAAGTAACTTAGGCTACTTTTATTTTAGAAAAATAAAGTTATATTTCACACGGACAAAGTCGCGGGAACAACTAGTTATATATATATATATACTAGGTAAATATAACGCAGAAGAATTCGCACGATTCCAGCTCACTAATATTGTTTTTCGAGTACGCTTGTAACGGATAACACTGTTTGTTATCATGATATCAAGGTAACATATCATCACCATATTTGTGAATCTTATCTCCGATACATAACCCATTGTTTACGGTGTGTGCGTACGTTAATGACATAATATGCTCTACTTATACTGTTTTTAGAGTTTTTTTTCGGACTACTCTAATGCTGTTGACCGCAGCTGGCCTTTACAGCTTCACCGGACGATAGGGGCGAGTGTAGATGGCAATCCAAACCAAGGAAGGACTTATGGAGCGATTTCAATCTGAGTATACTGCTATACTGGGTTCAAACCTCGACTCAGGTCTTTGTAATATTAATTTTTGTATGAATTCCATTCAGGATAATGAATCCTGAATGAAATTAATTTTAAACTCAATAATAAGAAGTGATTACGTGAACAATCTATACATATAAATAAAATTAGAGTGTCTGTTAGTGATATTGAAATAACCGTTTTTTACTACATGCATATGAATATATTATAAATCCGGTACATACACCAAAATAACAATTTTTGTCTGTCTGTCTGTCTAGCTGTTTGTTCAGACTAATCTCTGAAATGGTTAGACCGATTTTGACGGGATTTTCATTGGCAGGTAGCTGATGTAATAAGGAATAATTAGACTTTTATTTTAGAATAATTCTCTAATTAACTTTTTTGTCAAATTTCACGCGGACGAAGTCACCGGTACAGCTAGTATATTATATAATTAATTACAAGAAAATGAAACCTCGTTAATGTTTCACAGTTATATTAGATTTCAAAGAGTTATCTGGATAACATCACACCCGCGTCTGGGGTAATGTCCACATAAATCTATCGTCATGAGATAAGAATAGTACTCAATTGGGGATCGCATCTCATCAAGAGATCATCTACTTATTTTAACTTATACAGTATGTTTTAATTTTAATTATATACATATATAAATATGTTAAAACTATGCTATAGGTATATATTATTTAATTTTTGTTAATGTCTCTAGTTTTTCAAATATTACTGTATATGTTATATGTATATAAAGTTCTCGTGTCACAATGTTAGTTAAGCTCCTTCGTAACGGCTTGACCGATTTTTATCGAGTTTATACGCACATTCAGTAGGTTTGAGAATCAGCTACTATCTATTTTTCATGCCCTTAAGCGATAAGGGTTTTCCATCCCTAATTTTCTTTTTTATTTTTTGGACACAATTTATTGTGTTTATTTTTATATAGTCTGGCATTCCCTAACATTTTATTTTATTTTTTTTTGTATTTTTATACAATGTTGCATTAAAAATACACACAACTCTAAATTTTACTTTACACCCGTCTACCAACAAACCCTTATCTTTTAATAGCGATTTTAATTTATATCGCAAAACAACGTTTGTGTCAGCTTGTTTTATAAAAAGTAACGTTCCGCACAAAATTGTGAAAAGTTGTAATTGGCTTTCGAAATTGCCATACAAAATAATTACAGCTGTAATTATAACACGTAAATAATATTATTATTACAACCTGAACATGAGCAGAGTGGATCAGCCTGTATAATGTGCAGGACAAATGACATGGCTCACCGATTGACATGATTAATAGGTTATAGGGACAGGTAGGGTCTGCTATTGTACTCGGCAACAATAATAATCTTATTGATAAAAATGTTGTGGAATTCCAATATTCATCACCAAATTTGGAATACAAATTGATGAAGAGGGGAAGGGGGTTGTTATAAATGAGGACTAATTTAATGACTAATTCGACGATCGGTGGTCTAGCGGTCTAGCACACCGCTTTACGACCGATGGTCGCGGGTTCGATTCCTCGCACGGCACAAACATTTGTATCCATGAGTATGATTGTTTGTATCGGTCTGGGTGTTTTCTATGTATAATATGTATGTATTTACAAAAAAAAATATCTATGTATATGTATCAGTTATCTAGTACCCATAACACAAGCTCTAGCTAGCTTAACTTGAGTCTAGATGGCGCTGTGTGAATTGTCCTGAGATTATTATTATTATTATAATGTACCCCTAACAAGAATGGTAACCCAAAATTGGTACTAATTTCCCTTAGTACCAATTTTGGGTTACCATTATTGAGGACTAAGATGTTATAATAATGTTTCAGGACAATTCACACATAAAGGATCCTGATCGAAATTTCGGTCCAGAAAACTCGAGATTTTGTCTAACGAATCCTGGGATTTTAGGGACTAACAAAATTTTTTACGAATTAATAAAATTTGTTTTAAACTTTTGTGTTTACTATACACTATTTATATTATTAACCGGGTCTTAACACGAATAATTTTATGGCAAATAAAGGTATTTACCTCTCTCGACGTTTCGACTAGGTTGCACTAGCCGTGGTCACGAGCTGACCACGGCCTTTATTTGCCATAAAATTATTCGTGTTAAGACCCGGTTAATAATTTAAATAATAAAATTTGTGTTTTTGAAACGAAACGAACTAAATGTATATTTAACATTACCTATTATGAAAATAAAAATAGATGATTGAAAATAATTTGCTGACTTTTCATTGCCACTGCATTCCTCAATGGATCAGTAATACCGAAATACCGAGATTAAAAAAAATTGTCGGGATCGTATTCTCTATCACACAGCGCCATCTAGTCCAAAGCTAATCAGAGCTTGTGTTATGGGTACTAGACAACTGATATAATATATAGACACATTTTTTAAATACCTACATAATATAGAAAAAAAACATATACTCAGAGATTTAAATAAACCTACTTATGTATACAAATGTTTGTACCGAGCGAGGAATCGAACCAGTAACCATTGGACATGCCTACGTATTCTACTCACAGCCTTGACCTAGTTTAACACACGGCTTTGATTCCAGTTTTAAAGTATTTCTATCAGTATTGTTTAGTAAACATAACACAAGTACAGCTTAGCTTGAACTAGATGGCGCTGTGGGAATTGTCCTGGTGAATACCCATACTGATACAAACACTTGTACTCATAAATTCTTAACCTTAACCTCAACCTCAGGATAATTCACACAGCGCCATCTAGACTCAAGTTAAGCTAGCTAGAGCTTGTGTTATGGGTACTAGACAACTGATACATAGATATTTTTTTTTTTTCGTAAATGCATACATATTATACATAGAAAACACCCAGAGCGATACAAACAATCATACTCATGAATACAAATGTTTGTGCCATGCGAGGAATCGAACCCGCGACCATCGGTAGTAAGGCGGTGTGCTAAACCGCTAGACCACCGAGGCCGTCAAAATGTGTCCAACTTGTAATTAAAACTCCATCCATCGGAAATAAAACGGTGTGCTAGATCGCGCCTGTAGACTTATGGAAAATACTTATGTATTTACGATTAGTCGACAGGCTCGTAATGTCAAATATATTCGATATTTCCCATTTCGCACAATTAAACTGCGAAATCTGTACTTTATTTGTGTATTCTGTGGATACATCGCTACTTGTGGGTATGTTAGTTGATCAAAATCAACCCTGTACCATCGTAAGCACAGATTATTATATTTGAGTCCGTTAGTTTGTGTTCCCGCGGTTTCTGTTCCCCTCCCTTACCTACAGTACTGATCTGAACGTACGGCGGCCATGACGCGCGCGCGCCTTTATTGTGAATTGAAATAAATTAGAACTGTGTTAAACCTACTGTGAAACTGGAAAGCTAGCGAAGATATCTTCGAGACCCTGAAGTCCAAGAAATCCGCAGAACTATACAGGTACGTGACAGACGCTTCCACACATATTTTTCCCTATATATATACATAGTACTTTCCCTAACATTATGGTAGCAGAGAGTATTTTCCCTAACATTGGTCTATTTACTTGTACTGTATAACTACAACTGAAACACTGTCACGTGATTACTTCAATATGTTAAAATTGGCTAATGAAAAATTTAATCTGGTAATACTATTGGCGAAGATTATTAATTGGCATACGACAATTTTATATGACAAGTAACATGTAAAATTACAACGTTAATCTTCCTAAATTAAAAAAAAATCTCTAAACATCAACATACCTTCGTACATCTGCGCATACTGCGGAAAGCCAGCAGCCCGCAGCCATTTGCAGGCCTCCGTTGCTTCGATCTCTGTAACAAGCAATTTTTTTATATTAACAAATATATTCAATATATATAAAACTCTTTCTGATAAGGTTTACAACCTAAGGCCGGATGTAGTATATAATTTTTCCTGAGCCAAAAACCTGTAATATGCTTCAGAGTAGACCAAGTTATGATAAACTAACAAACAATTTTGAATAAAATTCGTAATGTATTGAGTGTTACTATAAAAGTTGTAATAAAAAATAAAATAACAATTATTCGGTAATTACAAACGCGATACACAAAAATTAGAGACTTAAATATAATATATACAATAAGTAATGATAATATGTAAGTATGTTATATTTGATTATTAGTAACATATATATGTATTGTTATTTTGGAAAATTAACATAGTGCTCATTGCTTGTGAGGACTGGTCTTTTCTGGTCACGAACACTGATTAGACTATTTCCTTTTGGCAAAATTGCTATAGCATATGCTGGTGGTCACTCTATTCTCCCAAATTTGAATTTAAAAAGTAAATCTGTGTTATTGTAAACGTGTACAACATTTATTTGAAAAGAATACGAGCTGAGTTTCTCGTCAGTCATATGTCTGTAATAGACCTACATGAATAAAGATATTTTGATTTGATTTGATTAGTACAAATAAAAGTGGTGTAAAAAATGCGTGGTCGATCTATAGTGGTGTTATGACATTGTTAATACTTAAATCTTGCCCAGATGACTAGATCTTGACGCACTGTGGATCTGGTCAAGATCGCTGGAAGGCGATGGATGCTAGCAGCGCAGGCTCGATCGTCGTTGAGATCTTTGGGGGAGGCCTATGTCCAGCAGTGAACGTGTTCCGGGCTGAGATGATGATGATGACATTTTTATTCTACCACTCATTCGGAATGCAGATTCATCACAAGAAGAATAAAAAACTAGTGTGTTGCTCTTTTAAACAAATAATGATTTACTTATATTTAATTAACAACAAGGATAAGGCATGCGACAATCAACATAGAAACCGCTACGCACTTAATCTCTGTTCAATGATGTTTATTTACTTTTTTTTCCTCGACTGGCAACATTACCGATACCTGTCTTTGTCAGCTGGCCCTAATAATTAAATACTTTTATCTAATTTATTACTCAATTTTTTTAGTGTAATTGATATAATTAGTGAGTTTAAGCTATAAAAAGTATCGATTGTTGTTTGTGTTCATTTTTATATAGTATTTGTGTACAAAAATCGACACATAAATATTTCTTACCGGTCAACTGTCAAAGTTCGTAATAAACTTATATTTACATCAATCTTGTACATGTTATCGCGTAATTCAATTTAAATTATTATAACATTCCTTTATTATTACTTATTTTGTGTTACATGTTAATATTGTGTTAATCTTAAAAGTGAATTCAAGTTGTGCGTCGAGGAAAAAAAATAATTACCCACTAACCAAATATTGTAAGTACTAACTGAAATATAATTAATTCTTACATTAAAATACTCAACAAGAGAGTGAAACTTTCACTAATTTAAATAGTTATTTATATATATTTCAATAACAGTACTGAATCTTCTAGAATTGGTTGTTTTTAATTCTATTATTTGAGCTTGTGTAGTACCCCAAGAAACCCATTCTTACAAGTAATAATATTTAGTATTGTTACAAAGGGAATTCTTAAAAGTAGAAATATATTATTTGATTTATATGCTCAAAAAAACATACCGTTTCGATAGTACATTCGTAAATTATGTAAAAAGATACTCAAAAACTTTTAAAAAGGTATGTAATGTAGCAAAGTCTAATTATCTAAATAAAAAAATTAAAGAGTCCAAGGATAAGATAAGGACAGTGTGGAATATTATTAACAAAGAAACTGGCAAAGTTAAAAGTCCATATAACGATTTTACGCTAAATTATAATGATAAACTAGTAACGTCCACAAAAGAAATTGTCAATATTTTTGAAAATTTTTTCGCTAATATTCCAACTGATATTACTTCCTCTTTGGACTCTTCTCCTGGTACAGCTAAATCATTCCTTATTGATAATGTTGTTTCTTGTCCGGTTACATTTAAATTTACATTTATTGACATTGCTACAATTACTAAAACATTTAAACAATTAAATTTAAAAAATACTGAAGACCATTGGGGCATGTCTGTTAAAGTTATTAACACCGCTATAGATGTTATTGCTCCATATTTAGTAATTATTTTCAATAAATGTATTTCTGACGGTGTTTTTCCCAATTTAATGAAACATAGCAAAATAACTCCACTCTTTAAGTCAGGAGAAAAAACTGTGGTAGGTAATTATAGGCCTATATCTATCTTACCAGTATTGAGTAAAGTGTTTGAAAAAATTATGCTCAATCAAATGCTACAACACTTTAAAGTAAATAAACTGCTTCACAGTCGACAATTTGGTTTCACGGCCGGTAAATCAACTACTGATGCCGGTGTAGCTCTCATTAAATATATATTTGATTCTTGGGAGAGGTCTCAGGATGCAGTCGGTGTATTTTGCGATCTTTCAAAAGCATTTGATTGCGTTGAACATGAAACACTTTTGCTCAAACTTGAACATTACGGTATTAGATATGAAGCACAAAGCATGATGAAATCCTATCTAAATAATAGAATGCAAGTTGTCGAAATAAATGGTGTAAAGTCTGAAGGAACTAGTATTAAAATGGGTGTTCCTCAGGGCTCCATTTTAGGTCCTTTCTTATTTTTAGTTTACATAAATGATCTTCCTTATATGGTAGAAAAGATAGCTGACATAGTTCTGTTTTGCTGATGATACTTCATTAGTATTCAAAGTCAATCGACATATTGATGATTTGGACGAAGTAAACGGTGCTCTTTCTTATGTTTTAAAATGGTTTACGGCTAATAATATGTTACTAAATGCAAATAAAACTAAATGTATCAAATTTACTCTCCCCAATGTAAGGCCGGTAGATTCAAAAATCATGTTGGACAATAAACCTATTAATTTTGTGGATGATACTGTATTTCTAGGTATCACATTAGATTCCAAGTTGCAATGGGGTGCCCATATTACTAAATTAGCGAGTCGACTTAGTTCTGCCGCTTATGCGGTAAGAAGAATTAGACAATTAACAGACGTGGCAACGGCTAAACTTGTGTACTTTAGCTATTTCCATAGCATTATGTCGTATGGTATTTTGTTATGGGGCAAAGCAGCTGATATAAATACAATATTTATTTTACAAAAGAGGGCCATTCGCTCCATTTATAGCATGGGTTCCAGGGAGTCTTTGCGAGAGTGCTTTAAGGAATCAAATATCCTCACCGTTGCTTCTCAATATATTTATGAAAACATCATGTATGCCAGGAAGAATATAGACAGTTTCAAAAGAGTTAGTGATTGCACTAATAAAAGCTTACGTAACAATAACAAACTGATTTTACCTAAATGTCGTTTGGCTAAAGTTAGTAATTCGTTTTATGGCAATTGCGTAAGGTTTTACAATAAAATACCAGAGTCTGTTATAAATCTGCCAGAAAAAAGATTTAAATGTCAAATAAAACACTTCCTTTGCAAAAAAGCCTACTATAAAATTGAAGAATTCGTTAACGATAATAATGTTTTTGTAGAAAAATTTTAAATACATAGCACTGACAATATTATCTGATTACACTAATAATGAGTGCGTAGCGATTTCTATGTTGATTGTCGCATGCCTCTTACTTGTTACACTGTAATTATTTATATAAAAAAAACATCTATCAAAAAGAGCAACACACAAGTTTCTTGCTCATTCTTCTTGTGATGAATCTGCATTCCGAATGAGTGGTAGAATCAAAATATGACTATTCAAAAGTGCTTGTAATGAGTTTATTTGAATAAAGATTATTTCTATTTCTATTTCTATTTGAATGAATAATTATTTCTATATCTATTTTCACCATATAAATAATGAAACCGTTGCGTAATGTAACGATTAAGTGTGGGTCATTTGCCACAAAACTGACGTCCGAGTGAAAAAAAAATCGTGAAATACCACTTAATCGTTACATTACGCAAACGGTCAAATCCCTAACTAGAATAGACAATGGTATGGAAATCAAACTTTCACCTAATAAATATTAATACATGATGACCAACATTACAGATCTCTGTAAACATATGAATAAGAGGAGTTTGGAAGAAAATCTTTGGATACTAAGTGTCTAGTTATACTGGACGGCTTTATATGCTCTTAGAGCGTTGTAGGGCAGAGGGCCAATCAGTAGTATTGTAGGGCTGACGTGTACTAATGTCTAAATAATGGAGGAAAGCAGATACAAAGGTATGAAGAGGCGAGGAGATAAACCGTGAAAAGATTGGATGCGGCAGTCTGCCGGTCACGTAGACCTAGTTATCAGTCAGTTAATGGGACACATTCATTGTTTATATTTGTTATATATATATATATATAAATAAAATTAGTGTGTCTGTTTGTAATATTGTAATAACCGTTTTTTACTACATGTATATGAATATAAATACGATACATTCCTCCTTTGTTAACATTAGCTGTAATTAATATACTTACAAATGTATTTAAGTGCAATAAAGAATATTTTAATACATACAGCAAAATAAAATTTTTTACAATTTTTGTCTGTCTATCTGTCTGTTTGTTCCGGCTAATTTCTGAAATGGCTGGACCGATTTTGACGGGACTTTTAATTGTAGTTAGCAGATATAATGAGAAGTAACTTAGGCTACCTTTATTTTAGAAAAATCGTCGACTGAATGCCGCGGCTCACCCAACGAAAGAGAATTATTCAACTACCGACCTCCGTATTTAAAAACCGAAGTCAGTATAGTAGGGAGAGAAGCGGGAGTAACTGTTATCTTATGACAAACAACTTAGTTCGGTCTATAAATACTACATTGGGTACTTCATTAGTACCAAACTCATAACATCTTTAATATCTTTTTAAAATATCGGATTTTCTACAATATTGATGTCAACCCTAACAATAATATATACATATTACAGTACAGAAGAGCCGAAATAAATTTGACACGGGTGAAACCACGGGGTGTTACGGAGTCAGTATATAGACGGATATACCATATCCTAAATATAGTATTCGGACATCCAAGATCGGTATTACTGATGGAGTAGATATGTCATTATTCATTTACATGGTATCCAGTCTAATGTATCCGCCACTGCACCACACACGTCTGTAAGATGTGTTGTGTGTTTGACCACTCGCTAGATATGGTACAGTCGAAAGTTTAACTCATTATGTTATTAATCTTATTCTGTTGCATTAAATTCATTTGACATACTTTTTTTTTATTTATTAATATTTTACGGCTCTGGATACAGGTCCTTTTTAGCTCAACATAAAGTACAAAAACAAAAACAATCACAGTTTCTTCACAGTGTTGGAAATAAATTTATATAAAGTCTTGAATAGTACAGATTTATAAGATGTCTTCAAGAGACTTCGGTACTTTATTATATTTGACATACTAAAAAAAACTACGCAACCGATTTTGAAGCGGTTTTTTTAATAGATAGAGTGATTCAAGAGGAAGGTTTTATATATATAATACATGTAGCGAGTACCTAGTAATATTATAAACGCAAAAGTTTGCGAGTATAGATGTTTGTTACTCTTTCACATAAAAACTACTGAACGGATGTTGATGAAACTTTACAGTAATGTAGCTTAAACATCATAACAACATATTGGTTATAAATTTGACACGGGCGAAACCGCGAGCACAGCTAGTATATAATATAGTATTATTTTATGTATGATATTGATGTTGCAATCTAAATGTGGAAGTAACTGTACACTTGCAGGTCATTAAACTGGAAGTGCAATCCATCAACCTTGACAATACTGAGCGTGAACTTGCCAAAATTGATGCAACATTGTTACTATATAAATACATTATCACCAATGATGGTATCATTCAACAAGACCAGCCATGAGAAGTCTGATTGTATTCTCTTTTGTAACCCTGGCAACTGTGTGTGCTATGGGTATCGGAAAATGGGACTCCGACCTGGAAACAGCAGCGTCTCACCACGGCAACGGCTGGGGTAAAGGACATGGACATCATCATCATGGTGATCATCATGGTGATCATAAAGGAGGATACCATAAAGGACATAGAGGCCATCACGGTGAACACCACGGCCATCACGATCAACATGATCATGGAGGTTATAAAGGACACCATGAAGGCCACGGCGGTCATGAGAAGCATCATCATCACGGTGATGGGTATCATCATCATCATCATCACGGTGAGAAAGGTGATCACGGACACGGACACAAGGAGGACGGTCATTGGGAGAAAGGAGATGACACGAAGGGTCATCACGAAGTTGATAAGCTTAACGAGTTCAAAAAGGAGACACACTTCCACGAAAGCCATGGTGATAAGGGCCATCATGAGCATAAAGGGGGTCACCATCATGAAGGGGGTCATAAGAAAGGGGGTCATCATAATCATGGACACAAGCACGGTGGACACCACGAACATCATCACGGTAAAGGGGAACATCATGAAGATGGCGGTCATCAACATGGCCATAAGGGTCATCATGAGGAAGATGGTCATCACAAGCATTGGCATCATGACCATGGTCATGGAGAGAAGGGTGGGCACGGGGACCATAAGCACTGGGGTTTTAAGAAGGGACATTAAGACTGAAGCATTAGATCTTTGGGTAAGAAATAGAAATATAAATAATCTTTATTCAAATAACCTCAATACAAGCACTTTTGAATAGTCATATTTTGATTCTACCACTCATTCGGAATGCAGATTCATCAAAAGAAGAATGAGCAAGAAACTTGTGTGTTGCTCTTTTTAATAGATGTTTTTTTTATATAAATAATTACAGTATAACAAGTAAGAGGCATGCGATAATCAACATAGAAGTCGCTACGCACTCATTATTAATGTAATCAGATAATATTGTCAGTGCTATAGATTTAAAGTTTCTATAAAAACATTATCGTTAACGAATTCTTCAATATTATAGTAAGCTTTTTTGCAAAGGAACTGTTTTATTTGGCATTTAAATCTTTTTTCTGGCAGATTTATAACAGACTCTGGTATTTTATTGTAAAACCTTACGCAATTGCCATAAAACGAATTACTAACTTTAGCCAAACGACATTTAGGTAAAATTAGTTTGTTATTGTTACGTAAGCTTTTATTAGTGCAATCACTAACTCTTTTGAAACTGTCTATATTCCTTCTGGCATACATGATATTTTCATAAATATATTGAGAAGCAACGGTGAGGATATTTGATTCCTTAAAACACTCTCGCAATGACTCCCTGGAACCCATACCATAAATGGAGCATAAGAAATTTACATTCTATTTTTTACCTTACAACTGTATTTCATTTTTCTGTAATTAAATTGTTATATTAAAAAATATTTTACTAAAAATATATTATTGTTTTTTATTATTCTACTGAGAATTGAAAATATAGTCAGTTGTGTAGCACTTATCCGCTTAACAAAGTGATATTTCAAAAATCATGTTTGATATGTTCATAGTAACTTCAGACTAGATCAAACTTGACCAGGTCAGGTCCGGTAGACCATCATGGCAAATTCACCAGGAATTTAATATGGTTTCGGGGGAGAATTAACAGCTGACAATGTACCATGTCAGGTTGACTTACACGCGATTCCTCCTGGAAACCATCCTGGTAACTTTCCAATTGCAAAGGAGAGCTAACAGACCTGACTGCATGCATGCCATTGGTGCTTCGCCAGAGTATACCATTAGCACCATTCTATCATCATCCATTAAAAAAATATAATAACTTCTGTTCCCAATTTTGTCTGTGTGATCAGGATAAAATGTAGCCTATTCTTTTGAATCGCATGTATTTTTTTTTGTACTCTTTATAGCACTAAATATAGAACAAAAATTAAAATAAATATACATTAACTTATACAAAAAATATAACATTAACAAATATAAAGAACTCTGCATTAGACAGCGCCTATCAACCCCAGTCACGCATTCTGACCTTCTTCGGCCACGTATCTCGCCGTGGTAATAACTCCATACAGCGTCTCGTAGTGCAGGGAAAAGTGGGAGGCACCAGGCCACGTGGTAGATCACCAATGAGATGGACAGATCAGATCAAGGCCGCAACTAAGTGCTCAGTTTACGAATGTACCCGGAAAGCTACAGTCCGCGACGAATGGCGCCGTATTACCAAAAACCTCACTCATCGTGATTCAAAATGACCACGACCACTCTGACAAGAGTGTACCGACTAAGAAGAAGAAGAAGAACTTATACAAAAGGCGGTCTTGTCGCTAAGCAATCTCTTCCAGACTACCTTTGGGTGGATAGAGAAAGTAGACAGTAAAGACAAATTTCATGATGACAAGCAGGTAATGAAAATAACAATCAAACTACATAATGGAATGCAATAGGCATGACATTATAGGCAAGTAATTTTTTTATGGATGTTAATGAAATGGTGCACCCGCCTGCACAAACAGTTTAGACTTGCAGGGCACCAGTGGAGGATGATAAGATGAACATGAGGTCAGGTCAGTTAGCCCATCGTGACAGATTCACCAAGAATTTATCACAACGGTTTCCAGAGGGAACCACGTGGAGGTCACCTGACATGGTACATTGCTAGCACTAAAATCATCAGTCCACATTACTTACGATCCCCTTTCCCCCCAGTAATTGATAATTAATTGATTTAGCAGAACAAAATGGAAACCGGAATCATTTACCGGAACTTAGTGGAAGTGATTTCACAGTCATCTTGAAGGTCAAATCAAATCATCTGAGTGTATAATGGATAAAGATTCTGTAATATTTATTGTTTTTGATAAAAATTCCAGTTTTATTTTTACTTTTATGATTTTGTTGTACTTGCATGTCGAAATAATCAAATTATTTAAAGATACATATATATATATATATATATATAATATCGGCGTTGACATAAATTGGAAATTGTCCCGTTATCATTACATACTACACAGTATAAAACAAAGTCGCTGTCGCTGTCTGTCAGTCCTTATGTATGCTTAAATTACTTTGAAAAAAATACGAGCTGAGTTTCTTGTCAGTTCTTATCTCGAAATCATTCCAAACTGATGGTAGATTTGACATATGATAAGAGTCTGTAATAGACCTACATGAATAAAGATATTTTGAATTTGAATTTGAATTTAAATCTTTAAAAGTACGCAACGGGACTTTTTTGGAAGGTAGCTGATGTAATAAGTAGTAACATAGGCTACTTATTTTAGAAAAATAAAGTTAAATTCCACGCGGACGAACTCGCGGGAACAGCTAGTCAGATATAAATATTAGCATATACCAGTAATTATTGAAATTCTAAATTAGCGTATTTTTTATTGAATACTAAAACGTAGTAAGATGTCTCCAATACTATAGAACATACAATCAATTTCATACACATTTCATACATAAATAATGTCTGTGTGTATGTCATTAATTATTTATAAACTAGGTGGGTGTATTGTAAGAACATAATGAATGGTTACATTATACAAAAATACGACATTTTGACAATATATTTTGTACGATGTGATAATTTTATGGCCTGTTCCGAAAGTGAAAATACTGGTACCTATAGTTTTATTATTTATTTCTTTCTGTTGTTTAATATCTCAATATATCTTATTAATATCTATACATATAAATAAAATTGGAGTGTCTGCTTGTAATATTGATATAACCGTCTATTACCACATGCATATGAATATAAATACGGTACATAAACCAAAATAATATTTTTTACAATTCTGGTCTGTCTGTTTTGTTCCGGGTAATCTCTGGAATGGCTAGACCGATTTTGACGAGACTTGGCAGGTAGCTGATGTAATAGGGAGTAACTTAGGCTATTTTTATTTTAGAAAAATAAAGTTATATTCCACACGGACGAAGTCGCGAGAACAGCTAGTTAGAAATGCGAAAGTTTGTAAGTACGGACGGATGGTTGTTGCTCTTTCACGCAAAAACTACGGAACGCATTTTGTTGAAACTTTCAAGTGATGTAGCTTATACATCAGAATTACATATAGGGTAAAAAATTACCGCAGGTACAACTACATCCATACATAAAATTATATTGCAAAACTTCTACAGTTTCTCTGTTGGGGATGACTGATGACTGTCACGCCTATATAATTATATATTATACATGTATAATTTATATATTACATTTTATATATATAAGTATAAATATTTTATGGTAAATAAAGATATTCATTATTTACTAGCTGTCCCGGCAAACGTTGTTTTGCCTTAAAATAAAATAAAATTTAGGGGTGGACTACCCCTAACATTTAGGGGGATGAAAAATAGATGTTGGCCGATTTTCAGACCTACTCAATACGCTCACAAAATTTCATGAGAATCGGTCAAGCCGTTTCGGAGGAGTATGGGAACGAAAACTGTGACACGAGAATTTTATATATAAGATTATAAGGTTTTTTTGTCTATATTGTTGTGTCAAGACGAGTCAATATAAGTCTATTCTATTCTATTCTATTCACCACTCTCAGCATTTCAAGGAGGTTGCACTAGCCCTGGCCATATATTATATTAATCACTACATAGTATAAAACAAAGTCGCTGTCGCTGTCTGTCCGTCCCTATGTATGCTTAAATCTTTAAAACTACGCAACAGATTTTGAATCGGTTTTATTCATAGATAAAGTGATTCAAGAGGAAGGTTTATATGTATAATATATATATACACCCGTGCAAAGCCGGGGCGAGTAGCTAGTATAGTATAAAACAAAGTTGCTATTGCTGTCCGTCCCTATGTATGCTTAAATCTTAAAAACTACGCAACGGATTTTGAAGCTGTTTTATTAATAGATAGAGTGATTCAAGAGGAAGGTTTATATATATAATACATGTACACCCGTGCAAAGCCGGGGCGAGTAGCTAGCAAATAAATGTGAAAGTTAAATATGAGGTTTTTAATGATTTTAGTTGTTCGGTATAAGAGTCTGCATCCATATAAACTGTTGAAACGATGCAGTTTAGTACATTTTCACATGCAGTTAAGATGGGGCATTTAACTGCCGATACTATAAACGTTACAGTAAACATTATATGATTTACGACGAATTACACTGCACTGGACAGGTTAGGAAATTTACGACTAAATAGAACTCTCACACGTAATCATTTGGTTAATTTTAACCAACACACGTACGTACTTTAAACTACTTAATTTATTTCCGATAGTCGTGGGTTCGATTCCTCGCACAATTCATTAGTATGTTTGTTTTTATTGATCTGGGTGTTTTCTATAAGTATAAATAGTATAAGTAACAAGTAATAAGTAAGAATTTACAAAAAAAAAACTATATAAGTAATAGTATCAGTTGTCTAGTACCCAAGTTACAAAATATCTTAATAGCACCTTTTAAAATGTTTACTAGTGCCATCTAGTGTCACAAGTCAAAACTGTTTGTATTAAATTCAAAATTATTTAAATATAGAACAAAACTTAATATTAGTTTATAATAAACTATTTAAAAAATAAATAAATTTTCAAATGGTTTATATTCAGCCAGTATTATTCATAGGAGAAAATAAAACAAACAATATAGGCCAGTGAGAAATAAATATAAAATAATAATTTATATGAATTGAATATTACT